CAAATTCATATGCAGGCTGCTCACAGACCCTTAAGCCATCTCCCCGTGAGGCCTGGATTCTAAGAAGCCTCTATGGCTAGCCATGGTTGGGACTAGAGATCCAAGAAGGAAGACTTCTAGAAAATATTTTTTAAAAAGCAAATGAAAAAGCCCTGGAAAACTGTAAAGAAGGTAGAAAGATCAGTGATTGGCAGAGGTTAGGAGGCAGGGAGGGATAAACAGGTAGAGTCTAAGGGATTTTTAGGGCAGTGAAACTATTCTGCATGACACTGTAATGGTGGATACATGTCATTATACACTTGTCAAAACCCATAGAGTGTGCAAAGCCAAGAGGGAACCTTAATGTAAACTATAAACATTAGTTAATAATGATGTATCGGTACCCATTCATCAATTGTAACAAATATGCCACATTAATGCAAGATGTTAAATAATACAGGAAACTGTGAGGGGAGGTTAAAGGGGGACTAAAGGGGTCTAAGGGAGCTCTCTGAACTTCCAACTCAATTTTGCTTTAAACCTAAAACTGCTCTAAAAGAAATAAAGTTTATTAACTAAAAATGGTAATAGCCAAAAACTGGAAATAACCCAAATGTCCATCATCAAATGAATGGGTACACAACCTGTCATGCATGTATACCATGGACCACTCTCAACAGTGAAAGGAATGAACTATTAATACACAGAGTCATCAGTTCTAGTGACAGAGCCACCAACTTATTGATGACCCCAGGCAAATCACTTGCAGTTTCTGGACTCATTGTGGTCCTATGTGAATCTTCTCACCCCAGCTCATCTCACTGCCTCACTCTTGTTGTAAGGAGATGAAGGATAAGGTGAAGCTAAATTTGATCCCTCTCTTGCCTCCAATGAAGAATATGCTCTCCACAGCCCCTGGCTCTTTGGCAGCCCTCATGGCTTCACCCCTCTCAGAGTTTTCCTCTAGCCAAGCTTAGCCAGGGCCCTGCTGCGAGGACCAGGAGCCCATGCATCAGCAGGAGCAGCCCCGAGAGGCTCAGGCCACTCTGGAGTCCCAACTCACTTTCTCCCAGCTCTCTGGCCCCAGCACTCTTCCTGTTCTCCTGACTTGTCCATACATCACCAGGAATGCAATACCCTTAAAAAAAGAAAACCATTTTGCTCTGAACTAACAGAGTCAGGCCTCATTGTTCCCAATATCACCAAGCAATTTCTGAGCTAGGGGAGTGTTGAATTGGAGTAGGAAGATGGGCAATTGGTCAGGGTCAGCTCATAATAGTGGGGAGTGGAGGCTGAGAGCTCCAGGGAGGTGGGAGGAAGGGCTCAGCTTGGAATTAGGAAAAGAAGGATGCTGGGGCGTTTGGAGGTGCAAGCAGAGGTGATACTACCTCTAATATTTTCTAGTATCTATTTTCTATTAGGTAGTATCTAATACTACCTAATATTTTCTACCTCTGCACTTCTTACCCCACTCACTCTACTCAAGCGTGGGTTCACCTGGAATGTAACTTCTTTACCAATTAATAAAATACCCTTTAAATAATGTTGACATGCCCTCACAGCTCTACCTTCTTAGCTGCAAGTTTCTGCAATAGAAATCCAGTCAAAGACAGTGTAAGCAACTCCAAAACCCAAAGAGCATAGCATTAACCAGTCTCTGCCTGCCCAAGGATTACCAAGTATCCTTCAAGGAAGGATCCCCAGGTCCTTCCTCTAGGAATCATGCTATAACTCAACTCTGAGAGAATTATTCATCCCCTGTCCTGGCTACCATGACATTGGCCCTTGCACAAATTTAGCACCCCTCACATTCATTCAGCTCCTAAGCCACGTGATGCAAACACAGCATAGGACTCTGCAAATTAACAACCTAATGCCACTGTAAATTACATTTATGGGCATGGCCCATGTTTATTTATTTATTTATTTATTTACCATTATATCTTCAGTCCCAAATACTGTTTCAGATAGATCACTGGGACTTAATAAATGTTAAATAAGCACAATACTCTGGTGGCACATAGAAATGTACATCAAAAAACCCTTAAGAGAAAGAAATTCATTTCCCACAGTACTAGAACAGTGCTGCCCAGCAGAAATCTCTACGAAGATGGGATGCAGTTGCTATGTCTAACACATAACCACTACATGGGGCTATTGAGCACTTGAAATGTGGCCAGTGTGCTGGAGGGACTAAATTTTCCATTTTAATTAATTTTAATTTGAATAGCCAAATTGGACAGTACAGTTCTAGAAAGAGGTGTCACTGGAGATGGGGCTCATACATGAAATGAACATGAAAGCTCCTGTTAAGAGCATGGTGCCACAGCACAGCATGGCAATAACGGGCACACTCTTGGCTTTGAATCCCTGTAGCTCACGTTACTAGCAAGGTATTAAACTCTCTGTGTTTCTGTTTCTCATGTGAATAACAGAATAACAGGCACCACATAAGATTCCTCTGAGGGTCAAATGAGTTAACACATTTTAACAGTGCCTTGCACTAAAGAAATTGCAAAGGTCTCCCAGATCCTAGCTCAGTGCCTAACACCCAGGATTTAGATGGGGAGGTTGACTCCTTGAGCTCCATGAATAAAAGCCAAAATCACAGCTTCTTCTACTGTGCATAGGCCCCCATCCTTAGCACTCACAACCCAGTTTGGGCCAGGGCGATAACACAGGCAATGAATTAATAATGGGACATGGCAGGGAACTGCTGGAATCAACAAAACCCTGTGGGAGTTTGGAACTCACCCCTCCACCCCTGCTTGGATATCAGGAGACACAGAAAGAGTAGAGAGGGCTTCATCAAATCCACACACTTGCACTAGAACTTGAAAGAAGGAGGCAAGTTCTCCTGACAAACCTGGAGTGAGAAGTAAAGGAAAAGGCATACCCAGTGGTGGGACTTGTGGGAACAAAGGCAGAGGTGGTCAAGGCAGCTGAAGAGGGGAAAAGAAGTTCCCCTGCAGCCTGGTCAGAGTATGGGAGACAAGAGAGGGCCGTCCTGTGATGCAGAAAGATGAAGAGGGGCTAGGCAGTGGGCATCCAAGAGCATCCTCTAGATAGAGGCAGATTAGTGTTAGCGCTGCTTCAAAAGGGAACTGCAAGAGAGTTATTTATAGTGGTAACAAGCAAGCACTCATTTAGCTTATATCCCACATTATACAAACACAGCATTGAGCTCTGCAAGTTAAAGCCCTAATGCCACTCTAAATTAAATTCATCAGTGTCTTAATTAAGATCTATATTTAGTTCTTAATTAACGGGGAGAGAAAAATTCATGATGTTGAGTAGCAGAGATTTGGAATGGAATTTATTGACACAGAAAGTCATCTCTCTGTCAGTAAATTGGGCACACGCCGACCCCCTCTCAAGACTCAGACCCCTGCCAGGTCAGGCAATGCTTTAATCCTTCCTCCCTGCCTTCCTTCCTTCCTCATTCATTTCTTCTTGTTTTATTTGTTCAACATCTATTTATTGAACACCTACTATGTGCTAGGCACTGAACTTTGATCCTTGGGCATTAGGGAATAAAATAGAGATGGTCCCTGCCCTCAAAGGGCTCATACTCCAAAGAAGGATGATAGTGAATACAACACGTCTCAGCTTTGAGACCTTCCCTGAGTCTCCATTGCTCTAGCAGGGAGAATCCAGACACCCTAGGTGAAGCCATAGCTGATACCTTCATCCTACCAGCCAGAGATGGTCTTAAAAGGAAGCCATGTAGATCATTCAGTCCCTCTGCCCCCACCACAATGGGCAAATTCCCAGGGGGCCAGCTACTGAGCACACCCTCAGGACCCTGGTTTCAACCCTTGCATTCCATCAAGCAAATGATGAAGACTAGTTGTCAGGAGGATGAGAAACGGGTCTATGAGCTTCCCTTCAATGCTAAGATTCTAGGATTCTCTGACACCAGCTGGGGAACTGTGTTCTGGGAGTGGCTTCATTAAACAGAGTTTATGAAGGAAGATCACAGAACTCAGAACATTACAGCCTCAAAGATTTATGCAGCCCAGCAGTTTGAGTTCCTGGGAGGTCAAGTGACTTGGTCAAGAAAACAGAGAGTTAGCAAAGGGGCAGGGCTGGAATCCACACCTGCTTTGTGCCAAGTACTGTATCCAAGGGGAAACAAACATGGGTGAGCCAGGGTTCCTGTCCTTGGAATAGCTGAGGGGGAAGTGGGGAGCCGGTGCAAATTAGGAGAGGGAGTCTTGAAGTCCTCAGGACCTGGGTGTGAATTATCTATGAATCTGACCCTGATGCCCCAGAAAATGTTTTTCTCTGGGGCCTCCGGGGTCCCTCCCAGCACAGTGGAAGTCTGGTAGGTAAGGAGGGAGCTATTCAGAACCTGCCAACACAATGCCACAATGCCTGAGGCTCCCCTCTCTCGGTCCCGAGAAAAGACTGGTACTGGGCTGTTTTGAAGTATGTAAGAACTGGTTAGCCAAAGAAAAAGACGGAAGGTCATCCTAGTCGGCGGAAAAAATTGTACAAAGGTACAGAATCTAGAAAGCAGGCCAGTTAAGAAAACCTGGAGTGGGGAGGGGAGGGGAGGGCAGGAGGAGGGGGGAGAGGGAGAGAGGGGGAGAGAGAGAGAGAGAGAGAGGCGGGAGGGGAAAGGGCAGGCGAGGTGAAGAAGGCTGGCGGGAGGGGCCTGGGGAAGGCCCTGAACGCAGGTATTTGCTCCTATGCTCATCCCCAGACCGGCCTTAAAGAATCAACACCTCTGCGCTCTCGGAGGAAAGATCCGAGGAGAAGAACACGTCCTTCCTCGCCAGAGTCCAGCCCGGGGCCCCACGCTGGAAAGCTCCGAAGCTCCCAGCTCTTCCTAGCAGAAAATCGACATTCAAGCATCCAGCTTCCCAGCACAGCCTGGGGTGGGTAGGGTTTACGTTAGAGCTAGCGACTGGATGGCCGGGAAGGACCCGGAGGCCGGGAAAGTTAACTTGGCACAATGGATGCATCAAAGTAGTGCAGCTGTGTGGCTCGTGGAGCGCGCGCAGCTTTCTTCTCACCGCTCTCTTCTCCCGGATTAATCAGCGGATACAGCGCGGCGCTTTGATCCCCGAAATCAAACTCTCCATCTGATGGCTGACTTGATGTTATGCTAATCCAAGCTGATTGAGCTGAGATAATTACACTTCATCCAGGTTTCCTGGGAGTTCCGAATAAATATTGATGCACATCTGTCCCCCGCTCAGGTGTAGAGAGGAGCTTTGCACTGGCAACAGTATCGGCTGGCCCGGAAGCTTGTGCGCACTGCTGCCACCCGCCTGCCTTCTCCAGCCTCCGCCCGCCTTCATGGCTGTGTGCAGACCTGGTGAGCCTGGCGGGATGCCCAGACACCTCACTGTTCAGGAACCTGGAGGCGCCGGAGAGGTGGTGAAAACCTGGAGCTCTGTGGTTGGAGGACCTGGATTTGAATATCCGAGTCCTCGTATGGGCTGTGCGGTCTTGGACATGTCACTTAACCTCTCTGAACCGCAGCGCCTACCCATTTATCTAGATTGCCCGCAGATTAAAGGAAATGCTTGAGAAGGGCTGAACTGCGCAGAGTCACTCGCCAGTCCCACCAAGTGCGGGAGGATGAGGTGGGGAGGGATCTGGGAGCAGGAGCTCCAACCAATGCAGCCTCCATGCCAGCACCGCGCCACCTGGCTGCGCACTCCAGACGGTACAGAACTGAATAATAAAGCTAGTGTTTCCTTGGCGCTGCTTCTCCCCGCGGGCTAATTAGGTGGTGTTTGTAAAGCACTTCGAAGACAAAACGCGACCCAAGTGATAATTATCATTAGTCCTGTCCCTATAGCTTTCAGATCAGCGCCAGAAGACCTGGAGTGTCCCCTTGCCAGCCTGCAGCCACCAGGAGCGGCGAGGAGACCTCAAACACTGGGACTGCCGCCTGTCTGAACCCCCCCACCCCTCCTGACTCTCGATCCCTTTCCCAGTCCCTCTAATAATCAGGACGCTGGGACAGAGATGGGGGAGGAAGAGGAGCAGGTCACAAAACGTGACTAACTGCAGGTTTGTCCATTCCCACTCCCGGTAAGGGTGAGGGAGATGTCTGGGAAGGCCTCACTGAGGAGGCGCTCCAAGTTTTTGATGTGTAGGAGTCCACAGAGGTCGCGCGAGGGAGGTGGTCTACTGGTACTGACACCTCCTGGCACCTCCTGACAGCCTTAAGCAATGTGTCTTCCTAAATCTTTGGGGTTTTGCTACCTGACCCCCACCGCTGCCCTCCCCGTGCCCCATCCAGGGCTGCCCACACAACCATACCCCCCATTGACCAGACACCCTGTTGCCCAATCCCTGCCTCCTGTGTGGCCCTAGCCAGGGCTGAAGGACCGTGAGGCACAAACCCAAACTCAGAACGGATTTATCAAGCAGTATACCTACCAGGCTATAATTCAGGTGGATCTCCGCCTTGCACTCAGAGTGACGCTGCCCAGGAAGTAGTAAACCCAGACTGAATGTTGAGTTCTTTTTCCCACCTTTCTTAGGGAGGGTGACTGTATGCCCCGGCCCTTGAAGGGTCTCTGTGTCACATAGCCAGCTGCAAGCATAGCCAAACCCTGGCCTCCACAGTGCTGGATGAACACACCTTACTGCTAGCTACCTTGGAATAACCACAATACTTAGAGAAATAATAATGAATGATATGCAGAGTTTGTAACCAGAAAAGACACCAGCATTCTGTCTGCCTGTCACTACCAAACCCAATAAGCAATGACAGTGATTGAATCTCTATGGGCCCTTAATTCAGATGGCCAGTGATCTGAGAAGATGGTGGGCTCATACCCTAACAGACCATTTGCCTTCTCTTTCCAGGCCAGACTTTTTATACCAGGGAATAAACAAGGTGTGGTGAGGGCTTTGAGATTCAGGGAGGATTAGGTTATAGAAGCTGCAACATTCTTGTCCTGGGCAGGTAGCTGTTCCCAGGGGCTGTGGTCATCTGTCTCTCCCTGGAACACAAAGGTCCAGATGCCTCCAGTTGTCCCCAGGCAGTCATCTTTAGCAGTGCCCCAGGAGGTCAGCTGTTTTCCCAGGAGCCAGGACTTATCTGTAGTTTCTGAAACAAAAGCTTTAATGTACACATTACTTGCTAGACTTAAAACTTTTTTCCTTAACCTAAAATTTTCCAAGCCTTGAGTACCCTATCAAGTCCATTACCATTTACAAATTGCTGCAATATGCACTATTTCAATAGGCTCTAAGCTCTAATAAGCCACTGAGGCTCAGAGGTGTCAGAAGAGGTGCCTTAGGTCACATCCTGGTTAGTGGCAGTGCTGGGGCAGGAGCTGTTACAGAACAGGGCCAAGGAGGGTTACGATATACTATTACCAAAAGGACCCCCCACTAGGTTCGCTTGTCCACTGCCAGAGGAACAAAGTCTCTCAATGCCAGAGATTTGTGAAAAGGAAAGGAAATGTTTATTTAAAATTATACAGACTTAGAGTAGTGACCCAATGTCTTCATTAAAATATTAAAGTCTTTTAGGATACCCACAGACACACACACACACACACACACACACACACACACAGTGCTTCCTTCTCCCTCTGCCCTAATCTGGGGTACCGTATCTCAGGAAAAGTTGAAGTCCGTGATTCAGGCTCCTGGCACCATCAGCTGTGTCACCGCTGTCAGGATCTTCAGTGAATCCAAAGTCACATGGGCACCTTCTCATACCTTACCAGTAAAAACCCTTTCACCCTTTTTTTCTTCCAGGCAAAGTCTTTCCTACTTCGTAAGCCATGTGGCCAAAGGGTGTACCCCAAAGCCACGGGGTCCACACTCTGGCCAAAGCCACATGGTTCTCTCTCACCAAGGCTGTGGGGGTCCCCACTCTGACAAAAGTGCATGGTTCTCTCCTCGCATGGCTGCCGAGTCTGGGTTTAAATCCTGTGCCAACCTTCCTCTGTACTCCCCTTTCCGAATCCTCCTACAATTAATTACACCTGCCAACATTCCTGTATTACTCCAAGTTTACTGGGCTGCCATAGCAAATCTGGGCAGGTGCAGCCACATGTCATGCAGCCAATCTTGTCCAAGCTCTCATGCAGGTGCTGTAACCAGGGGGAGCTGCCCCCCAGTTACATCTTGGGTGGAAGTCCCTCACATCCCCCTGGCTAAGAGCCTGGCCACAGCTCTTTAACATATCTTTGCAACCAGTTAAACATATCTTGCTTCCTCTTCTCCCCGCTACCCCAGTTAAAGGTTATAGATGTGTTAAATGACCACACCAGAGGTTAGCTGCAAAGCTGTGACTGTACAAAACAGCCCTGCATGTTCCTGCTCCATGTGTCCCTTTCCCCAACTCACACCTGTGGGGGAAGGGGTGAGGACATCCTATATGTCTTTCTAGTATTTCCCAGATACCTTGAGTTCTAGACCCCATTCCAAACCCCTATTTGGGGGCCCCCTCTTGGCTGTATCCTATTTCAGAGCCCAGGGGTGTCCTCTCAGATCCTGGGCAGCACCTTATAGCCCACCCTCTTAGAGTGACTGGGATCATATTTTTTAAATGTGTGCAACTATTGCCTACACTGTTGCTCATGCTGCTTTCCTGCAAGTGAGCATTTATCCATCCACAAGCATTTTTGCTCAAAAATATTTCCTGTTGTTTTTCAGAAGTTAATGGATGTGGCTGAGCCCCTAAACCCATCCCTTAGAACCATGAAAAGACAAGCCTTTTAATGGGGTGGAGGGGATTGATGGGGAAGTAATCCCCACCCTCTAGAAATGAAGACTCTAAACTCCACAAAGCAGAGTTTGAACCACACCTATCCCTTTCTCTTCCTGATTCCTTAAACAGTGTTAACAATATTGGCCCAATATTGCTCTCTAGAGACCACAGTGACGGGGCAGTGGGGGCATGGATAGGGGGTGGTAATGGAGAGAAGTAAGCAGACTGGGGCCTGGGAGAAGGAAGGAGACCTTGAGTTCATGCCATTCCCTGGCACCAGGCCTCTCCAACCTTAGGGGTGGGAGGACATTGCCTTCAGTAGCTCTGGATAGAAATAAATGGATATACATGGGATCAGGTGAGTATGATTATTTGATGGTCAATATGTGGGCATTTTTTGATCCCCAACTGGCACTCTTCATTCTTGTCCAGTGGAGAGAAAAGGAAGAAAGAGAAGCACCACTCTGGCCAGGGTTTCCTCACCTTCTCTTGCTTCATCCCCTCCCCGCTACCCCATCCTAATGCCCTACAAAGTTCCACCCTTTGTGTGTTGTGAGCAAGGGGCCCCACCTGTAGTCAGAGGCAATGGTCACTAATCCAGAAATTAGAGTGCCCAGAGAAAACAAGCTAATCAAATTATACATTCCTGAGAACCATTTACAAGCTGGGTACATTCTTTAATCTTAGTTAGAAATCTGAGCAGCTCCCACTGTCTCCACAATCACATTTAAACAGCACTGACCCCCTTGGCACTAATCTTAAGAGCCACACACCCTCCAGAGAGCTGGGGATTGCCTTCCCCCTGGAGAAGGGATGTTGTGGGGCAGTGGACTAGGTGGGATTACTGACTGTCCTCTGAATGCCCCCTGTCCTTACCTCCCCAAGGACACACATACACAGTCTCAGTTTATGCCATTTTCTGTGGAGGATCCTGGCCAGCAGTATCCATCCCTGCTGCAGATGGCTCATCGAAACACGAGAAAAACATACACAGGGACAGCCAAGTCCTGTGGGGAAATAGGGACAAAACGGCCACTCTCTCTAGTGGAGAATGCCCCGTTCTCCTGCCCAAGCAGGTTTTTATTGAGAATACAGATACAGTTTGTGGATTACAGTCTGGCAGGGAAGATCAAAAGAATAGGTAATTTTCAAAGGGTCTGACAGAACTCCCGCTGGGATTCTGGGCAAAGTTTGGGGTTTTATCACTTAAAAGGACTACAGGATCTAAAAGGCTAGTTTCGTTTCCTGCCCATGCCTTCATATTCTAATTCAATAGCATCCTCCAGCAAGCAGATTTCACAGGGTCTTGCATATTCTATGTCCCAGGCCTGATTACCCCAGGGGTCCGCTGACTCTGGTCTGGGCTGCACTGCCCCTGTTATTTCCCCTGAGTCGGGCAGAGGAGACAAAGGCAGCCAGGAGACTTGGATTTCTCACAACTAAGAACAAGAACTCAGGCTTTGACAAAGCCGAGGGGGCAGGGGTCAATGTCGATCACCCCTTCATTTCCACAGCCCCGAGTCTCTTCCCTGAGGCCTCCCTGTGATCATGCCTGTCTTAGACAATTCCCCCCATGGGAAATCT